CCTGTTTCTGCTCCTAAGAAAAAGCTGTTTGTTGTGTGCAGAATTAATCTGAATGGGAGTGACTTTTCATTATTCATTAATCAGCTGGTGCATCTGCAGTGTTCTAATGAAGAAAACTGCAATGTCAGCAACCTTTTAGAAGTGATTAACCTTTTGAGAGTATCTCACCAAAATTTCATTTTTGTTGCAGAGAATGCCTAAAATCTGACTTGTATCAGTGTAGACTTCTGGGAAAATCAGTGAGCCAATCACACAAGCAGAAAATTAAATTTCTGGGGATGTTCTGTACACCCAACAATGCACAGAATTCCTCCAAGTTGCCATATTGCATTGCAGTTTTACAGTAAATTACAGCGATGCAGTTTGAAAAAGAAAGGTAATTTTTAATAGATTACAATATGGCCTATTTGCTAGATTTTTTTCCCACAAGAATGTAGTTACCCTTTGAATGTCTTGTTTTTTCCCCTGTTTCCTATGCAATGGGAAAAGGTTGTACAATATAATAAGACAATAGTTCTATAAATAATATTATAATAATCACAAGTTCTTTTGCATATAGCAAGGCTTCTTGTTTTCTATAGAATATATATTTCTACAGCTATAGGATTTGGAGGAATGATCCCAGGTCAGCTACAATAAAAGAAGAGAAAATGCAAGGTTTGCCTGTAATGGAACTGATTTAAACTGGATCCTACATACACAGAACCCTATGCACTAATAACTGACAAGGACTTCTGGCAAGGTGTTATACTGCTTCAGGGTAGTGGACCTCAGTTAGGGGGGACTGAGTCTTTGAAGGTTCTATTAGACTAGACCCACATTGACATTGACATTGGACATACTATACATAACAATTGCAATTAAATTAGTCAGTTGAATTTTCACATGTGAAAATTAAGTTTAAAAACAATAGAATATTCAAATAAAATTAACAGGGAACATTAATCCACAGAAAGAGAACCATTTTTTTTCTGCGGTGTTTCTAATAAACATTTCAGTGGAGAGACTTATTTCATTAGATTTCAGGCTGGGCATGCTTGTCGCCAATTATGATTGTCTTTCGTATGAACTTTTTTTATTGACTGTACAAATGTATTTGCTTATGTCACCAATGCTAAAAAATGGAGCTTAAAGCTAATCTTATAAACTGTGAATCATTGACAAAGTGCACTGTGTAGGTTACACTCATCTCTAATAATCACCATCCTGCAGTCTTCTACTTCATAGTCTCTGGTACAGCAAAGTTTGGAATCTGTGCATACTCTATAATCTCTAGCACAGCACTTTTTGGAATATGCGTATAGTGTGGCATTTGACAATTGCATTGGTCTGTCTGAGACTGTTAGTGAGCCAGTTAGAACTTGCTGCATTAATGCTAAAGCCTTACCATCAGTGTTGCACAGTTGTACAGGTTATACAGGCTCTTCTACGTATTGAAATTGCTTACTCTGACGTCACTGCACACTGTGAGCGTCTCTTCAGCAGGTCAGATAGAACCCACCTTTTTCCATCCAACATTGCTCATTATGACATGGATAGCTTTCCTAGGCATGTCCTCTCCTTCAAACTGACAGCCACCCATATTTACATAACTTCTCCTGTAATCTAGCTCATCAGGGCCAAGGACTGTTGATTGGAGTACTGAAGCAGGGTGCTTTAATGTTTTCAGGAACTATGTACAGCATCTTGCTTGCCCTTCCTATCAGCCATGATCGATTGGTATTGCACAGTGATGACATGAATAAGTCATACATAAGGCATGTAATGAAAATAGTTAGTTTTATTTAAAAATTTCATAAGCATGTTAAACAAAAATGGCAACAACTCCAACCAGCCAAAAAAAAATTACTTGACTTAACAATATGCATAAAAAACAGAGGTTTTAGTTGCAGAAAGTTTGCAAATATATATATGCATGCCACATTGCCCTGCCAAGGCCCTTCTGTGTAGTGTGTTCCCTAACTCTAGTCTAAGAGAGCCTCTATCAAGGAGCATATGTAGCAATAAGTAAATTAAGCGTGGGTATGCCTTAAGGTAACCCATTTCTTCTTAGAGGAACAGGGATACACCAGAAACCCAGCATTGGCAGCCAGTTTAAGTTCATTAACATGTTAATGAGGGTGGAAAGAAGAACCAGGGAAGGCAAATAGAAACAGATTAAACTTCAACTTTAATGTTTGGGCTCTCAACAGTACTAAACTGGTAGCTGTGCCAGTACATAGACATTACTGTTCAGAAAGTTCATATATGAACCACTGGGCTGCATCTTTCTTTTACTATGCTGTTAAGTAATTTAGGAAGTGTGTTAACTGCCTCCAGTACCACTGGACTTTAAGAGTCAGCAAAAAGGATGCTCTACTCTTATGCCAACTAAACCCAAAGCTCACAGAAAGTTCATATATGAACCACTGGGCTGCATCTTTCTTTTACTATGCTGTTAAGTAATTTAGGAAGTGTGTTAACTGCCTCCAGTACCACTGGACTTTAAGAGTCAGCAAAAAGGATGCTCTACTCTTATGCCAACTAAACCCAAAGCTCACATGGTGGTGCATAACTGCTGCTTACAACAGCATGCCCATGATAAATCTAAACTAAGCTCGCAACACACACTCTTGTAAGAACCAAATATAGCTTTATTTTTTACCAGTTTATTATGAGCCTGTAGACTTTAAGCAAGTCTTCAGCAGGTAAAAGATGCCTAGGTGTAAGATACATTTAGGAAATGAAGGCCATCTCAAAGGGTCATAGGTAGCTGATCTAATGGGGGTAATATAAAGTAACTAGGATGTATAGTAATTTTATTCACTGTAATGAGGGGAAACAAAATTGTAGATATAATATGATTCCATTCTTTTGTTTTTAAGTAAAGAAGTGACATTCCCTGCCTTGAGTAGTTTAGCAGTTTTTATAGACCAGACATCAGTTGTTTGGAAGACAACCTGGTAAAACTATGTCAAGTTCTAAAAAATAGCTAGTTATGATAGAATTCGGTCTGGTATGATTGCAATTGATACAGATCTATAAATTGAATCTATTAACATACACGTGCTCTTGGATTATCCACCAAACCAAGACTTTAACCAAAGCAGCTGTGAAAAGTGCCATAAACGCACTTATATGTTTCTACAAAACTCTCTGTAGGGCTATTGGTTGTTACCAATAGAGCTGTATAGAGAGATTTAAATTGCATGGAGTTTAACCACTTCAAGTCCGGACACTTTCACCCCCTTCCAGTCCAGGTCAATTTTCAGCGGTATCCCACTTTGAATGACAATTGCGTGGTCATGCAACACTGTACCCATATGAAATTGTTAACATTTTTTTTTTTAGACAGATACAACTTTATTTTGGTGGTATTTATTAACCACTGGGATTTAAATTTTTTTGCTAAATAAATGAAAAATACCAAACATTTTGAAAAAAAGTGTTTTTCTTATACAGTTTTGCAAATAAATAATCTTTCTTCACAAATCTTGGGCAAAATGTATTTAGCTATATTTTTGATTTAAAAAAATAACCCAAATTAGTTTGTAAAAAATTTTTTTATTATAATTTTTTATATTTTTATATTATTATTTATGTATTCATTAATTTTTTACATACTTTCACTCTAGCAGTAGAGTGTCACCATAGTGGGGGGTGATGAAGATTTTTTTTTTTTTTTTTTACACTGATTGATTTTACACCCATAAAGGCTATAAAAGCAATCATTTCTATTTCTCTGTGGCTGCATTCCTGCAGCCATTGAGAAATACTATGAGAGCTGTGATTGGTCACAGCTTGTCACATGGTACAAGGCTGTTGTGAATGGCCTTGTACCATGTGACTTCTTTGATCATTCACAGATTTCACGAGTAGTAAACAATGATGTAAGGAAGTGACATCTTCTTTACTACTGTTCATGTGATCACTGATTGGCCAATCGGGGATTACATGAATCAGGACCTCACACAGAGGTCCCGTACAGTGATTTGTGTTCCGCTGTGTCCGGCGGACACAGCAGTCACAGATCGCAGTGCTGCACACTCCTGGGGAGCGTGCACAGGCAATGGATGCGGGGGGACGTTTAGAAACATCCCCTCGCATTGGCAGCGCTCCCGTCCGGCCCACTGCCGATAAAAGAGGTTTAAGTGGATTTAAAACTAAAATGTTTTTTAACCTTAATGCATCCCCTGCATTAAGGTAAAAAATGTTTTACCACTTGCCCCCTCCCCAAACACTTACTTGACTCTTTTATTAATCCAGTACTGTGCCTGGCTGCTGGTCATCTCTCCAACACTCTATAGACACACACAGCTTGTCTCTGAATCAAGTCTGTATGTTTCTCCCCACAGCAAGCTGCTTGTTATAGGGGCAGACACAGAAGAGGAGGGACCAAGTTAGCCAAGGGGGGATCCTGGAAGAGGATGTCCAGGGCTGCTCTGTGCAAAACCATTGCACAGAGCAGGTGAGTATAAGTTGTTTAATATTTTAAATAAAAAAAATGCCTTTAGAACTGCTTTCATTTATGAAAATTTGGATACCCAAATATCTAGTTAGGACATTAGTGCATTAATTCTAATTTATATTGATGTAGGAGGCAAACAAATTATTGTGTTTTATGCTGCACTTATCCCAACAGATTGTAAGCCAATTACCGTAATGTAAAGTAAATTTGAAAATTTTTAGTTAGCGTATTTTTCGCTCCATAAGACGCACTTTTTTCCCCCCCAAATGGAGCGAATATGGAGCGGCCGGTCCGGTATTTCCACCGCCGCCGTGTCAGAATACCGGCCCGCCGTTCAGCTCTGCAGCAGGACCTTACCTGTTCCTTGGTCCAGCACTGCACAGTCTTCCCACGCCGGCTTCTTTAGTGTAGGATCTCAGCTTGACAACCGGGTGCCCAGTGCGCATGCACGAGAAGCGCTGTGCTTTGTGAATGGTACGGCGTCTTCTGGGACACATGACAGGTCCCAGAAGGCGTCGCACCAATCACAAAGCACAACACTTCACGCACATGCGCACTGGGCACTCGGCTGTCAGCCGGGTGCCCACACTAAAGGGAGGACAACTCTGCGGAAGTGGGAGCGGGTACCTGTCAAATTCAGGTACCCGCTCCCCCTCCCTCCCCAAAGGTCAGCAGTCTCTTAGTCATCTCCTGTACTCTGTCCACAGTCTGAGTCATCTCCTGTACTCTGTCTGCAGTCTCTGGTCATCTCCTGTACTCTATCCACAGTCTCTGGTCTCTCTCCTGTACTCTGTCCGCAGTCTCTGGTCATCTCCTGTACTCTGTCCGCAGTCTCTGGTCATCTCCTGTACTCTGTCCACAGTCTCTGGTCATCTCCTGTGTACTCTGTCCGCAGTCTATGGTCATCCCCTGCACTGTCCGCAGTCTCTGGTCATCCCCTGTACTGTGTCCGCAGTCTCTGGTCATCTCCTGTACTGTGTCCGCAGTCTCTGGTCATCTCCTGTACTGTGTCCGCAGTCTCTGGTCATACTCCTGTACTATGTCCGCAGTCTCTCTGGTCATTTCCTGTACTGTGTCTGGAGTCTCTGGTCATCTCCTGTATTATGTCTGCAGTCTCTGGTCATCTCCTGTACTATGTCTGCAGTCCATTGGTTCAGAATATTTTTCTTCTTGTTTTCTGCCTCTAAAACCTAGGTGCGTCTTATAGTCAGGTGCGTCTTATGGTCAGGTGCGTCTTATGGAGCGAAAAATACGGTAGTTAAAAAAAATTGTTACTATGTGGCTGGTCAGACAAATAAAATACCATGTCATCAGCATATAAACTGTTCTTTTTCATGAGCACACTGTAATGGAACACCTGTCACCCAGATTGGGTGATTCCGTCAGAGAGCCTCTTCCTTACCACTGGGACACAGGACCAACGTATTATAGTCAGGCATTGCACTCAAGACTAGGCCACACTGGATACAAACTGGAACTACTTTATTGAACAGAAACACACTGTAAGGGACTGCCCGGCGGTACCACTAGCACTCCACTGAATAGGCGTCCCCAGCGCACGGAATCTAAGTCCCAGGGTGCTTGTTCACCAGGGCCCCTGATGGTGGGGATGGACTTGGAGCTCCCTGAGACCAGGTCGTGACTACTGGGTGCGCCCGTCAGTGGTAGTAGTATGCGCAAGGGGCTCCCACGGGGAAGAGTCTGATGTGAGGAGGTCAGAAGACCCCACTGCAAGGGATGGATGGATGGATGAGCAAGGTCAGACCGGCCGGGTCGGTAACAGAGAGGACGGCAAGGTACAAGGCAGCGGGCATAGAATGGTCGGGTCACACGCCAGGTCAGCAACAGAAGGTCAAATCCAATAGGGGGCATCCAGGAGAGAGGTCAGGCAAAGCAAGGGTCAGAGCAGGAGAAAGCAGCAAGGTCAGGTTCAATCCGGGTCAAAACTTACAAGGGGTACAGGATCACAGGTTCACAGGATGCAGGGAAGACCAGAAGGCACTGAATGACAGCTCAGGGCCATTTAAATATCCCGCCCTGCTGCGCTGCCATTGGTGCCCAGCGGGCGGCCGCGGCTTCTACTGCGCATGCGCGAACTCGAACGCGCGCGGCCGGCCCGGACCTAGTGCCCGTGTCCCTGCACAGGGCGGTGCACTGCGCCTGCGCCGGGACCATCGCGGCAGGGATCGAGGAGATCCCTGACATTGCCCCCCCCCCCTACGGGCAGCCTCCGGATGCCCACCCGATCTCTCCACCACGGGTGATCGCGAAAAAACCTCCGGACAAGTCTGGGTGCATGGACATTATGGGCTGGTTCCCAGGAATTGTCCTCAGGGCCATAGCCCTTCCATTTGATAAGAAATTGGGTCTGGCCTCCCCTCCTTCGACACTTCAGGATTGTTTCAACCTCAAACTCTTCTTCTCCCTCGACCCGTTACCGCTTCCGGGGGTCTAGATCCCGGTCAGGGAAGGCATCTGGGACCACTGGCTTCAGCAGGGACACATGGAAGACCGGGTGGATCTTGAGCGTGGCAGGGAGGACGAGTTCGTAGGCTACTTCGTTAACCATCCGTTTAATGCAGAAGGGGCCTATAAATTTGGGTCCCAATTTCTTTGACGGGCAAAGCATCTTTAATTGGACGTCGCCAGCCAAACCTTCTCCCAGGCCGCAATACCAGATCTCCTCTCCGTTTCCTGTTGAATGCTTTCCTGTAGTTCTCCTGGGCCCGACTGATGGCCTCTTGAAGCTTCTTATTGTTCGCAGCGAAGAACGCTACCACATGTTGTGTTGCTGGTACTGGGCATTCCGAAACCAAATCCGGGAGGAAGACTGGGTGAAAGCCATAGTTGGCAAAGAACGGGGACTGCCCTGTTGCTGAGTGGCGGGCGTTGTTATACGCAAATTCCGCTAGAGGTAGAAGTGGCAGCCAGTCATCTTGAGTAAACGAAGTATAGCATCTTAAGTATTGCTCTAAGGTCTGATTGGTCCTTTCGGTTTGACCGTTTAGTTTGAGGGTGGAACGCAGAGGAGAGAGATAATTTGATGTCCAGGGCTTTACACAGTGCTCTCCAGAATCTGGACGTGAACTGGACCCCTCGGTCCGAGACAATGTCTTCGGGGACCCCATGCAACCTGACTACCTCACGAATGAAGACTCGCGCGGTCTCGGCCGCCGAGGGGGTTTTCTTCAATGGGATGAAGTGGGCCATCTTGGACAAGCGGTCCACGACCACCAGGATTGCCGTGTGGTCTCGGGATGGCGGAAGCTCGACTATAAAGTCTAATGAGATCTTTTGCCAAGGTCGTTCAGGAATAGGTAAGGGTCGCAGCAGACCCCAAACCTTGTTTTCTTGATGGCTTGTTCTTCTGGCAGGTGACACAGGACCTTACATAGCCCTTACAATCCTTAGCCATGTCTGGCCACCAGAATGAGCGTCGGAGAAGTTCCAGGGTCTTTTCTGGGCCAAAGTGCCCCGCCCATCGGGTGGTCGTGGCAATGCCCCAAGACCAGGGTTCGGGCTTCTTCCGGCACCACAATTCGATCTTCCCTCCATAGGAGTCCCCCCTTGTTCTGGAGCGGCCCTCCGCCCTGGGGTAGAGGAGTTTGTGGATGCCTCCATTAGCCTGGAACGAAGGTCCGACTGAAGGACCAAGAAGTTACCCGAGGACAGGATGGTGTCGGGTACTGGGATCTCCTTGGCGTCTTCGTACATCCGTGATAACGCATCCGGCTTAGTGTTCTTTGATCCTGGCCGGTACGTAATGTGGAAGTTGAATCTTGAAAAGAATAGTGCCCATCTCGCCTGTCGCGGGCGTAGACGCTTGGCGGTTCTCTCAGATACTCTAAGTTCTTGTGGTCAGTAAATATTAAGATGGGGTGCACCGCACCTTCCAGCAGGTACCTCCATTCCTCTAACGCCGTTTTGATCGCTAGTAGCTCTCGATCACCGATATCATAGTTCCTCTCTGCTGGGGTAAGCTTCCGTGAGAAGAACGCTACAGGGTGGAGCAGTTCCTTGGTGCCTTTTCGTTGGGAGAGGATGGAGCCTACCGCATTCTCCGATGCATCTACCTCCAAGATATAGGGCAGGGCGGCGTCTGGGTGACCCAAAATGGGTGCCGAAGTGAAACAGCTTCTTCAAGGCTTCGAAAGCTCCCTGCGCTTCTGGTGTCCATCTGAATCGGGTTCCCAGCTTGGTTAGCTGAGTAATGGGGGAGACCAGACCCGAGAAGTTCTTGATGAACTTCCGGTAAAAATTTGCAAAGCCGATGAATCGTTGAACGCCTTTCCTGTCTGTGGGTTCAGGCCAATCCAGTATTGCAGCGACCTTCTGGGGATCCATCGCGACCCCCGCGGTGGAGATAATCAGGCCCAAGAAGGCAATGCTGGATTGTTCAAAACAACATTTCTCTGCCTTGGCGTACAACCCATGCTGCCGCAACCCGCCCCAATACTTTTGCTACATGTATTCTGTGTTCCCCCAAAGACGGGGAGAAAATCAGAATGTCGTCTAAATAAACGATCACAAAAACATCCAGAAAGTCCCTAAAAATATCATTCACAAAGTGTTGAAAAGTGGCCGGAGCATTGCACAACCCGAACGGCATGACCAGATATTCAAAATGACCGAAGCGGGTGCGGAAGGCCGTCTTCCACTCGTCCCCCTCCCTTATGCGAATCAAGTTGTACGCCCCCCTCAGATCCAACTTGTAAAAACCACTGCTGACTTTAAACTTTGGAACAGCTCTGGTACTAACGGTAGTGGGTAACGGTTTTTTATCGTGACCCTGTTCAATTCCCTGTAATCGATACACGGCCTTAAGGTTTTGTCTTTCTTTTCAACAAAGAAGATTCCCGCCCCCGCCGGTGAAGTGGAGTGGCGGATGAACCCCTTCTGGAGGCTATCCTCGATATATTCCTTTAGGGCCCCCAATTCGGGCTCTGAAAGGGGGAAGATTCGCCCAAAAGGAATTTCTGAGCCGGGTAACAGGTCAATGGGACAGTCATAAGGGCGGTGGGGGGGGGTGGGGGGGGGGGGGGGGGGGGGGGGTGGGGGGGCGGCTGGGGGGTAGAGTATCGGCTCCCCGTTTGCTGAACACATCTAGAAACCCATGGTAGACTGCAGGGATTACTTGTTTTAATTCAGCTTCCCCCTCAGAGCACAGGAGGATTTGGGGGGCCCCCCCCCGGCCCAAAGTGCGGCAGTATACCCGACAGTATGGGGAAGGGAACGTGATTACTCCGGTCTCCCAGTCAATCTGGGGGTTATGGGCCCGTAACCATGGGAGCCCCAGAATGACTGGGAAGAGGGGTGAAGCTATAGCATCCAGGCGGAGGAGTTCCTGGTGCTGGCCGGCAATGACAGTGGTGATGGAGGGGGTTTCCTGGTTCACTACCCCCCGATTTTATTCGGGAACCGTCGGCCAAATAAATATTGAACCCCTTCTGTTTCAATAGGAGAGGAATACCCTGCTGGTGAGCAAAATTAATATCCAAGAAGCAGCTGCATGCCCCAGAGTCAATTATGGCCGATACTTCCACGGTCCTTTCTGGAAGCTGAAAGGAAAGGGGTACCACTAAGTATTGGGATGGACCAACATTGCCAATGGATAAGGAAGAAGAGGTGCACTTACTCAGTTTCTGCGGGCAGGAACGTGCCATATGACCAGCTTCGCCACAATAGAGGCACAGGTTCTGGGATCGTCTGCGCAGATGTTCCTCTGGGGATAGTTTAGGCCGTGCCAGGCCGAGTTGCATGGGTTCGGGGTTATCTCCAGGTGGCCGGTTTTGGATGATTGGCCTAGGTGTTTGACTGGGACCTTGAAATGATCCCCAGGGGTTTCCATGACCCTGGCCGGACCTCTCAAACCTGCGTTCCCGCAGTCTACGGTCAATTTTAATGGTCAGTGCTA